GCCGGCCACAGTCTCTCCCTTGTGCGTCCAGCCTTATGCCAAATCCCGAGTACACAGACCTACCTACAGTGGATCATTAGAATGGGACAGTTAGAGTTAGGTTCTAGAGTTCTAGAACCTCCGATATCAATGTCCTGGTCCAATCTCCCTGAAGGGAAACTAAGACCTAGTGGCCTTGTCCAGGGCCCCTGTTGAGACCCTGTCTCTCCAGATGTACATTTGCCCATCCCTCATGGACTGGCTCTCAGGCCGGCACCGCCGAATCTTCCGAAACTTTTCGGAGCTGTGGGTCTTCATCTCTGAGCAAATCCAACAACACTGGCAGATGCGGCAGCCGGCGGAGCCCCGTGATTTCATCGATTGCTTGACCAGATGGGTAAGACGTGGTTCCCAGCTCCCTAAACTCTATCTTTGCCTCCCATCAACAGGTGCCTGGCACGCGGCAGCGTGTCTCCTCTGCCCACAGCAACAGCAAGACCCGGAGAGCCATTTCCAGGAGGAGACATCGGTAATGATGACGCACCTTTTTTTTCTGGCGACACTGAAACCACGAGCACCACCCTGTGCTACGGGTTCCTCATTCTGCTTAAGTACACAGAGGTGGCAGGTCTGCAAGCCGGAGACCCAGAATGGGAGGCTGCGGCCTGGGGATGGCTGGAGGGTCCTGGAAGTGCGCAGCTCACAGCCTACCCCGGCCCCAGCCAAGGTGCAGGAGCTGGACCCTGTGGTAGGGTGGAGGCGCGCCCCAAGCCCCGACGACCCCGAGCGACTCCCCTACACCAATGCAGTGCTGCTCCAGATCCAGCGCTTCATCAGCGTGGTGCCCCTGGGGCTGCTGTGCACCCTCCCCCTTGACATCCACCTGCACGGCCACTGTCTAGCCAAAGGTGCCCACTGAGTCTGGGGATCCTGTGCAGGGCCCGGGTGCATGAGGTGTATTCCGAGATCAGCCAGAGTCGGCAGGTGTGCGCTGTGCAGACTGAAGCACAATCAGTTACCGCTGGAGCAGGATGGTAGGCCCGCCTTCCCTTCAGCTTTTATTTTATTTTATTTATTTGTTTATTTATTTATTTATTTATTTTTGAGATGGAGTGTGGCTCTGTCGCTCAGGCTGGAGTGCAGTGGCATGATCTCGGCTCACTGCAACCTCTGCTTCCTGGGTTCAAGCAATTCTCCTGCCTCAGCCTCCTGAGTACCTGGTATTACAGGCACCCGCCACCACACCTGGCTAATTTTTGTATTTTCAGCAGAGACAGGTTTCGCCATGTTGGCCTGGCTGGTCTCGAACTTCTTGACCTCAAGTGATCCATGCTCCTTGGCCTCCCAGAGTGCTGGGATTACAGGCGTGAGCTACCTGCCCGGCCTGTTCCGTTGGGCTTTTAAAAAGGGCCTTGGATGGAGGAGGTGCACGTGCTCACCAAGCCCACAGGTAAACCTAGTTGCATGTACCCCCAGGGCACCTTTGTGATTCCCCTGCTTGTGACTGCACACTGACTCCATTCAATTCAAAGACCCAGAATGCTTCAACCCTACCAACTTCCTGGACAACGCTACCAACTTCCTGGACAGCGCTACCAACTTCCTGGACAAGGGCAAGTTCCAGGGCAATGACCCTTTCATGCCGTTTGCCTCAGGTGCGGGCAGGGGAGGAAGGGGACCAGCCTGGACCGACTCTGGGGTGCATAGTGCTCACTATGCACCCGTGTACCCGGGAAAGCAGATGTGCCTGGGCACAGGCCTGGCCCACTTGGAGATCTTCCTATTCCTTACAGCCACCCTACAGAGGTTCCTGCTCTCCGTGGTAAGCCCTGGCACCATCAACCTCACCTGCAGTTCACTGGCCTGGGCAGTGTCCCCCCAGCCTTCCAGCTCCAGCTAGTGGCCTGCTGAGGTCAGGCTCCGCTGTAGTGGGCTCACTGGCCCTCAAACCTCCACACCCTCCTTGGTCAATAAAGGCCCTAAATTGCAGATGGAGTCAGATGTGTGCAGCTCTGAGGTAAACTTTTATTTCTTGGCTGACGGGACTTCCACACCCATGCTCCTCCTGGCACCTTTTACTCTGCCCAAGCAGTGACAGCCCAGTCTCAGTGCCACCTGACACAGAGCCTTCTTGGCACCGAACATGACTTTAATATTCTCCTGGTGTCAAGTTCAGTGCCAACTTGTTTCCCACCCTCATGTACACCTGGGGGCAGTCCCAAAGCCAACGCGATGCCACTCCCTCTCTGGCCATACCTGATGCTTGTAAGGGATTATTGGAAGGACAGCCAATAAAGGAACGAAGCCAATAGACCCAAGTTCAGGCAAGCTGATGTATTGTCAGTCCTGCCACGCTACCCCTTGACAAAAGCAGAGGAGGCAGCCCTGCTTACAGGTTATAGCAAGGTTTTATAGGACATAGAACTGGGTCAGGGTAAAGGAAAAAGAAAAGGGGGGTGGTCCTTTGTGCCAGGTGTCTGACTGCTTCCTGGAGATGTTTTTCTTGCCAGTTCTGTTATGCAAGGTAGACGTCTTAACCGCATCCTGGGACAGCTGGCCTCTGGTCAAACAGTTACAGGCAGGTTTGGGGTGCGGGGTTTTATTTTTTGGCCTTTGGGGCTTAGGTGTACGGGAGGGGGAAACAATCCAGTTGGGTGGACCCTAACACTCCAGCCTTTTAATAGATGATAGGAAAGGGGCATGATTCTATCAGACTGCTTCAAGCTGAGAGAAGGCGGTGGCCAGGGGAAAGGCTGGAAGGTGGGGATTGGCTTTGGTTTTGAAATTGTTGCTACTCCTGGAGTAACATCATGTCCTGTATGGTTCTGTGGGTGAAGGCTCAGATACGATTCTGTTAAAACTGGATGAAAGGGCATATTAAGCAAGGCCCAAAGATTAGGAGAAATAAAAGGATTATAGCGGGTCCGAGGAGAGGGAGCAGTCGGGGGGCCCAGGTGCTGAGAGACCAAGGGGGCCAAGAGGGCCAGGCAGAGGAGCTCCCTGTTTTTTTATTTTTTGGGCTCCATCTTTTAGTTTTTTTTGACTGCATCTTGAACCAGGCCTGACCGATTGAAATAGAAGCTGCATTCCTCAACTAGGAAGATGCAGAGACCTCGTTTTTCTGCAGTAAGTAAATCAAGGCCTTTGTGGTTTTGTAGGGTAACTGCTGCTAGGGAATCTAGTTGGTTTTGGAGGTGGGTAATAGAGTGTGCAATTTTTTTTCTTTTTTTCAGGGAAGCCTGTAAGTCTGTAGCGAGTGCCTGGAAATACGATAATAAGGTTCCTCTTAACTGGTGTATAGGAATAGATGGAGAGCAGAGGGCCTCTCGGGAGGAAGTCACAGAGCATATATGACAGTTTGAGGTTGTGTTTCTTAGTGAAGTAAACAGGTGGGGGGAAGAGAAATGTGGGTGAAGGAGAAGGTACAGGGGCCGAACACCAATATGGAAAGATGGGTGAAGGGATGTTAGAATTTTTTTTTGTTTGTTTGTTTCTAGGGGAGGATGAGTTTTTGATTTTTGATTATTTAGTAGAGAGCCGGGGGCATAAGAAAGGGAGTTTTTTTTTTTTTTTTTTTTTTTTTTTGCTGCCTTATCAGCTTTTCTGTCTCCTCTCGAGATTTTATCTGATCCTGTTTGATGTCCTTGACAGTGTATAACACCTGCTTTGGTTGGAAGGTGTGCACCCTGAAGGAGTTGGTAAATAAGGGGGCCGGTAGTGATGGGGGTTCCTTTGGCAGTAAAGAATCCTTTCTTTTGCCAGATGGCAGTGTGGGAATGAAGGATGTGATAGGCATATTTAGAGTTTGTGTAAATGTTGACTTGTTTGCCTTTGGAAAGGGTTAGGACTTTGGTGAGAGCTACAAGTTCTGCTTTTCCGGAGGAGATTGCTGGAGGTAGGGGCCTGGCTTTAATTACTTGGTCAAGAGAAACAATTGAGTATCCAGCAATTTTAGGGGAGCCGGTCGGCCTGGAAGAGGAGCCGTCTATGAATAGCTGGTCATTGGGGTTGGTGAGAGGATTGGAGGGAATGTTTGGGAAGTGTGGCTGCAGGGGGTCTAGGATGTCAGTGTCAGAATGAGTAGGAAGGGAAGAGGGTATGAGGAGTAAGGATGCTGGGTTGAGGGGAGCACTTTTGGTAAGGCAGAATTTGGGATTTTTGATAAAGAGGGCATGGAGTCCTTGAATCTGGGAAGGAGGAAGAGAGCTTAATGCTTGGTAGGAGAGGACATCTTGTAGATTATGAGGACTGTAGATGGTGGTATTTTGGCTGAATGTTAGTTTCCTGCTTTCTACAGCTAAAACAGCCACTGCTGCTAGTGCTCTAAGACAGGTTGGCCACCCTTTGACTCTGTTGTTGAGTTGTTTAGAGAGGTGGGCTACAGGAGCAAAGGAAAGAGGATTTTTGTTGTTGTTGTCTTAAGACAGCAAGGGCTATTGTTTGGTTTTTGGCAATATAGAGAGTGAAAGGTTGGGAGATATTAGGTAAGGACAGAGACGGTGCAGTGATAAGAGCGGTTTGGAGTTTGTGGAAGTTGGGGAGTATGTTATGTGATGAGCTTAGGGGCTTATTGAGGGGGCCTTTGGCTGCTTTATAAAGGGGGTGAACTAGGAGGGCAAAGTTGGGAATCCATGTTTTTTAAAAATCCTGCTAGCCCTAGGAAGACATGATTTTTTTTTTTTTTTTTTTTTTGAGGAAGTTGGAGATAGGCTGTCGATTAAGGCTGCCTGGGCTGGGGTTATGGCTCAGGACCTGGGGGAGAGTTTAACTCCTAAGTAGGTCACGGTGGGGTGGAAAGGTGGGAGGAGGTTTTGGTTTGTTTGTAGGGAGAGGCCCTATAGCCTTTATTAGTGAGGAAATTGAGAAGGGTGGCAGTGTGAGTTTGGGGAGCTTTTTAGGGAGGGGCTCCAGAGGAAGAGGTTATTTACATATTGAAGAAGGCAGCTGGGGGAAAGATCTAAGGAGGTGAGGTTTTGGGCTAGGGCTTGCCTGAAGAAATGAGGAGCTACCCCTGAAACCCTGAGGGAGGACAGTCCACATGAGTGGTTGTGACTGGAGGGTGTTGGGGTCAGTCTGGGTGAAAGCAAAGAGGTTTTGGAAATCGGGGTGTAGGGGAATGGTGAAGAAAGCGTCTTTCGGGTTAATTGTGGTGAAGTGGGTGGGATGAGAGAGAGAAATGTATAGGGGTTAGGAACTACAGGATGAATAGGGAGGACAGCCTGATTGATAGCTTGGAGGTCCTGAACGAGTCGGTATGAACCGTCAGATTTTTTAACGGGGAGGATGGGGGTGTTATATGGAGAATGTGTTGGTCTAAGAAGACTGTGTGAGTAGGGCTTGTTTATAACAGGTGGGAGGCCCTTTCGGTGTGTTAGGGAAATGGGGTATTGGGGAATGTTGGGAAATTTAGAGGGGTCGTCTATCTGGATTTTGATGGGGTCTTGCTGAGCAGGTATGGAAGGGGTGGTGGTATCCCACATTA